TTTCTTACTGACACATCCCAGCATTTCCCGGACGCCTTTAAGCCACCGAAAACCTGTGTTTTTTGGGGGTTTTTTTTTCACCAAAACATCACAGCATTTCCTTGCAGCATTTGTGGTGTGGAACCTAGGTGTCTTTTTACAGACACATCGCAGCATTTCCCAGACGCTTTAATCTACGGAACCTGGGTGTTTTGTTTTGTTTTTTCACAAAAACACTGCAGCATTTTCCAGTGGGGTATGTGGCACCAAATACTGGTATTTAAAGCCAAAAAATGATCTTTTCCTGACCATAACCAAGTGGTGTTTGTGCCTTAACCTAATCTATAACCACAGCATTTTGGAAAAATGTAATATCTGCTACAAAATAATGTACGAGTGGTTTGCAGAGACATACACTGCCACCATTTATTCTGGTGGTTAGGATGCTTAAAGATGCTAACATGCTCTGCAGAGACGATGATTCTCTGTGGGTTCAACACTATGACAGACACCTTTCACAGCCCGTCTGATGTCCAGACTCTCCGTTATACAATTGCCGGATAATCCCAGATTAAAGGTTTTGGGTGTTTGTGAACTGGTTTGTCACTCTGAACAAATGTTTAATTGGCTCATGCAGATCCACAGACTGTGTTCTGTGATTTAAAGGGGTTTTCCAGGATTTGAGGGCTGTTTATGGACACATGGATCCTCTTTGTGCACTCCTGTGGAGTTTGTGATTGTATATTTACAGTAAACTATAACATTTATAATTACATCACTGCGGTGAGCTGTTGCAGAGATTTGCACCAAATAATATCCTTTCACTATGCTGTTTTTTTTCTCCTGCTCAGTTTATTTAGTTCAGGTAGGGATGACGACATTCATCACCTGAAAATGCATCTGGCTGCTCTAACAAGATCACCGCTGTGCAGCTTGTTAGGAGTTCATCACAGCCGAACCTCCGGGTCTCATTGTTTCATTAGATTCACACACGTCGAGATATTATTCAGCAGTTATTACATTATATGTTGTGACACACAGACTGTGGTGTGTCGTCAGTTAAAATAAGAAATGCATTTTATCTTTGTTGTATTCACTGTCTTTATCCTGTTTAACCTCTTCATGCTGCCTTCAAGTCATGTGGGGAATATATCAAAAGTCAGAGTAGCAATGAGGCAACAGAGGGAAATATGACATGAAAGATTCAAACTTAAAACGTGTCTTCACTTGAAGCTCACACGTCTATTTTCATGAGTTTAAGTCACAATAAAGTCCCAATTAAGTGCCACTTTGATGACAGGTAAGGTAAAAATTACATAACAATTTGTACAATTTGTTTCTGAATAATGGAGTAGAATACATTTCTATGCATTTAAGGCCATTTCTTATCACACATAAACATGCTTTGTATGTATACATTTAGCGGGTGAAATGTAAGAGGATGGTCCGACAAAGAGAAAATATCCAGTGAGCCAAAATGCCTTGTTGGTGCCAGAGGTCAGAGGAGAATGGCCAGACTGGTTCAAGATGATAGAAAGGCAACAGGAAGTCAAATAACCACTGGTTACAACCAAGGTCTGCAGAAGACCATCTCTGAACCAAAAACACGTCCAACCTTGAAGCAGATGGGCAGAAGTCCACACCAGGTGCCACTCCTGTCAGCTAACAACAGGAAACTCATTCTACAGTTTGCGGGGACTCACCAGAATTGGACAATAGAAGATTGGAAAATCGTTGCCTGGTCTGATGAGTCTGGATTTCTGCTGCCACATTCAGATGGTAGGGTCAGAATTTGGTGTAAACAACATGAAAGCATGGATCCATCCTGCCTTGTATCAATGGTTCAGGCTGCTGGTGGTGGTGTATTGGTGTGGGGGAGATTTTCTTAGTACCAACTGAGCATGGTTTAAACACCACAGCCTACCTGAGTATTGTTGCTGACCGTGTCCATCCCTTTATGACCACAGTGTACCCATCTTCTGATGGCTACTTCCAGCAGGATAACGCACCATGTCACAAAGCTCAAATCATCTCAAACTGGTTTCTTGAACATGACGATGAGTTCACTGTATTCCAATGGCCTCCACAGTCACCAGATCTAAATCCAATAGAGCACCTTTGGGATGTGGTGGAACGGGAGATTCTCATCACGGATGTGCAGCTGACAAATCTGCAGCAACTGCGTGATGCTATCATGTCAATATGGACCAAGATCTCTGAGGAATGATTCCAGCACCTTGTTGAATCTATGACACCAAGAATTAAGGCAGTTCTGAAGGCAAAGGTGGCAAAGGCAAGGTGTACCTAATAAAGTGGCTGCTGAGTGTATGCTGGTTTAAGAGCTTTTATTTCTGTCAGTCGACTCTGCCACTGTATTTGAGACACTTTCTCTGTCGATACTTCCTATGAATGTGGCTATTTCCTGGTTTTATCTTAAGACCTCCTTGAATGATAGATGTGGGCGGTGATTCAGAGGTCTGGTACCAGGCTAAACAGCAAATAATGTGTCATTTATTACTTTACTTTCTCCTAGTAAAAAAAACCTGTGGTGTACTGAACAACTGAGTCTGGAGTGTGCTTCCATTTCAGTAAGTTGTACAAACTAATCTGCTGTGAAAGAGTGATTGTAGTTCAGCCCATAGCGACTTAGGTTGGGAACCTGAGGGTCACCAGTGCCAGTTCCTGTCCAGACCACATATGGAGTGTAGACCATAGATGACAATTCCTTTCAGGGATTAATAAAGACTATCTTCTTCTTCTTAAACAACAAAATATTTCATCAACTGTTGCCTTTAAAAAAGACCCATGTGAGCATTTACTGACTTGACAGCGCCTACCAAACATCACAAACCTCTCTAACTATGTTTTCATTGTGTGACAGGCAGAGTTTCTCCCAAGGGATCATGGGCAAAATGACAAATGCCCTCATCTGCTCCGGGGCTCTGCCCGGCAACAAGCACTGCCAGCTGGTCTGAGCGGTATAAAATTTAAATATCAATATTTCCTCATTACATAAATCCTCTTACTGACATAGCAGCAATCTCAGACCTTAAAACTCCCCCATGAGGACTTCATCCCCCCAAAACCTGAAAAGCTGTTTTCTGGCACAGTAAAGATCTGTTTCTGTTTAGATTCTAGCTTCTGTCAAACTGGAGGATAAACCGAACTGTGTGGGAGAGATAAAACCCCGCCAGGGTTTCTAAAAAACATCTCGAGCCAAAAGAGAAAGAAACGAAAGCGTCCAGATGAGTAAGAGGAGTGGAAGAGTCGCTCTGAGACAGAATCTAACGATTATCAGAGTAGGAAGGTGAAACAGTCACTGTTCATTCAGTAGAGTTTGTCCCTCCAGTCAAGTCAGCCGTGTTGGTGTGTAAAAGATTTACGAGTCAGGTCTTACAGCCCACATACATCCAACCACAAATATTCTTCAGTTACATTATTATATACAGTATTAGTATATGAGCTGCACCTTACTTGTAAATATAAGCCCTGCAACTATTTTCATTTCGGGTTATCTTTGTTTTTTGTTCATTGTTTGGTCTACAATTATAAAACATGACAAATGCCCCCCACAAATTACTTTTTTAAACATTTGACAATGAATGTTTTTGGTTTGACAGACTGTTGATTCACCCAGCAAATGTTTTAAGGTGTTAAAGGAACAGTGTGAAGGATTTAGTGCCATCTAGTGGTGAGAATTGCAGACTGCAACAAGCTGAAATTAATTCTTAACTCCTGGTTTGATTTCCTTCAGTGTTCATTGCTCAGGAGGATTTGATCAGGAGCCAGATTACCACAGAGGTCTCTTCCTATCCAAAACAAACAGACCAGGTGATTTAAACCGGTAAACCACTAAATACAGCAGTTTCACATTAAAAAGCAATTAAACATCAGTGTTTTTCCAGCGCTGTTTGCTTGTCACGGAGGGGCTGCTAACTATGGTGGCTGTCACAAAAACACAACAGACACACAAAGATACAGACAACTATTCACACTCACATTCACACCTACGGAAAATTTAGAGTCACCAATTAACCTGCATGTCTTTGGACTGTGGGAGGAAGCTGGAGTACCTGGAGAAAACCCACACTGACACAGGGAGAACATACAAACTCCACACAGAGGGGCTCCCTCCTGGGTTCGAACCAGGAACACTCTTGCTGTGAGGCAACAATGCTAACCACTGTACCACCATGCCACCCTACATATACACATATATATTATGTATGCATTTATAGAAATAAAAGAAGACGTAGAATGTTTAAAATGAAGAGTTGGACCCATCCAACTACATCGACCCCCCCAGTCCGACATTCACCGCCTTGACTTTCATCCTTGTCCCGCCATGTTTCCCCCTGACGCTGCTGGGAGCAGTCAAACTAAAACGGCATCCAAATGCCCAAGTGCCAGATTTCGACGACTTCAGAGTGAGAGCATGCTAGCAAACCATACAGTTTGAAAACGAGGTGCGGCTCCAACTAGAAAACAATGTTTTGATGCATTGGATGTGCTGAATGTGCATATTAAGGCAGTACAGGAGGAGGTGCACATTAATAATCCTCCAGGACTGTAACATGCTCATGTTTAACCCAAACAATGTGTCATGTGACTGCAGTTGGTTCAGATCCAGGTAGGAACACGTTCTCACCACAAACGAACTGCACCAGAGTTCGTTTGTAACTGAACCGAGACCACCTCTTCAAGAAGGTCTCAGTCTGGTTGTTCTGGTGCACACCTGAGTGTGATTGCTGTGTTCACACCTGCCCAAACAAACCACATGTAGGGGGAAAACAAACTTGAGTTCGGCTGAACCAAACCAAACAGGGCAGGTGTGAAAGCACCTTTAGTCTAGTCATGTTGTGGGCCAGATTGGACCCTTTGACGGCCGGTGCTGGCCCACGGGCCGTATATTTGACACCCCTGTAATTTGTCTTACTTAAAGTCTACACTGGCTTTAATACATATGATACTATTATATGTCGTGTGTCTGTATGTTCCAGGTGTAGCAGCAGTCCTCCTACCTGATGATGTCATCGTTGTGTCCCAGGTAAAACCTCTGGCTGTGCTCTCTGGTGTTGTAAACCACGCCCACCCCGGCCACGAAGTACACCACCTCCTTCCCGGCGGTGTAGTACAGGTTATTCCGGCACTGGTGGCCCCGGTACCCGTAGACCCAGTCCAGTCTGAGCCGGCAGCCCGGGGCGCTCCGGTCCGACATGCTCACTCATCTGACGGGACACCGTGTCCGCCGCTGCCGGTGCTGCTGCTGCTGGTGCTGCGGGTTCACTCTTACTGCTTCTGGTTTAAGATCCTCCAGAGCGAAACAACAGATTTATTATTGATTAACTGATATTTATGGACAAAATATGTTATTTTTCTTATCATTTATGTTGTTTTCAAGATTTAAAATTTAGATGTTATTAAAGTTTTCTTTAATTTTTCTTACTTATCTCGTTTTTTAAAGAAAGTGGACATAAAATAATGTAGAACAGGATCATTTAAACTCTTAAAAAACATCTTTTTGTGTCAAGAAATTCGGTCTTAACAGAAAGAACAAGGAAACAAAGATGGTTATAACTGATATAAATGTATACCCTGCAGTTTAATGATCTATCTGATGCTTAATTAATGTAATATATTTTTAATTCTGTAATATTCTCATAATTTAGTGGCATTGTCATATTATTAGGCTATTTTTACTTTCTTTTACAATTTTATTTTCAATTTATTTATTTTTTTTTTTTTTACAAATCCAATTTTAATTTATTTATCTTTATTTTAATTTTATTTATTTATTTATTTTTACAAATTACACAAACATATAGCTGCTGTATTTTAGAGATATTTGAGTACTTACGGGTCATTTTCCATCCCTGATCATATCTCTGTAGTGTTAAGCATCCAGCAGCAGGTGAATCAGATGTCTCAGAGTAACAGGCGGCTCAGAGCTCTTTACTTTCCACCAGCCATCATCATCATCATCTTCATCCCCAGGGTTGCTGCTGGATGGAGTTCCTGTTATGGTCCTGCAGAGACTTTCTGGTGCACTTATCAGTATTTTTATCTCCTGTGGTTTGAGTGTAATTTCCTTTAATGTTCCTACAAGGACCAGTCGTGTCTTTATTGCACTGTAAATTATAAACAGGGAGTTTATAACGCCCCCGTTATGCTTTGTGGTTCTTAATAGCGTCCATTAAGATATGAGACGAACTTTTTTTTTTTTTTTTTTTAAATATAAGCTATGATAGAGTTTCTCCTTAGATGTAAAGGAGCGCGCTCTGAGCCTCATTCATAATTATTGCCTCAGCCTGGAATATTCTCCGGGTCCCTCCACCTGCAGCCACCGTGCAGATGGTTTTATTTGACTTTTCCAACTGGAAATAAAACAGTCAGAGATGGAGAAATGATCCTGACGCGTCTGGAAAGTTCTGTCCAACAAACACAAAGAGACTAAAAACAGCAAATGAACACACACAACTGATGCAGGATTCTGCTCCTGGAAAATATAATCCCTCCTCACACTAATCCTCGACCTCGGTACCAGCCATGGTTACTACAGCACGGGTGTTTTGTTCTCCTGCATCCCCCCGTGCGCTCACAGCATCTCTCCGCCGAGTAACGCGCAGCGCGGAAGGTGGAGGAGGAAAAGGTGCGGCGGCGGCGGCGGCGGCTCACAGCCCCATTCACAAATCTGTGCGTGAGTAAAATCCACCAGAGGCAGGAGGACAGGGTGTGTGATAATCCACAATCTCAAAAAATAAAAGAAGCGGATTATTTCAGCTGTGAAATGTTCGGGCAGTTCCGGAGAGAGCCGAAGAGACAGAGGAGGAAGGAGCGATGAAAACAAGTGTTTAATCCCCGCAGATGATCCAACTTCAGCGGGCAGAGGAGGGGAGAAGCCCCGGGTTCACACCGCAGCATCCCGGCCGGATGACGGGAGAGGAAAGTCCTGAATCCCGGCAGGAGGAGAGCATCCTCCAGCTGCAGCGGAGTCCCTCCACCCACAGACAGGCAGGCGGACAGATAGACAGGCTGACAGGCAGGTGAGCAGACAGACGGACTCAGCTGGTCAGTAAAGCGGACTTGAGATGGGTAATGGAGACCCTCCCTGACCGACCAGTCTCATCACTGTGATGTTTGCTCGCTCGTTTTCGGACTGACAAGCAGAAGCGTCAAGTTCACACAGAGCAGATCATTAGATACTGCTTCCGGTGTGTGACCTTCAAAATAAAAGCCCATGGAGTCAGGGGGAGGCGTTGTAGTGCACACATATTATATATAGGTTAGACTGGATGGATGGATGGATGGATGTCCAAAGTCAAGTCCCATGTCAAGACTGACAAGTCTAATGTCAAGTCCCAAGTTCTTAACTTTGAGTCTCAAGTGCTACACATGTCATAATGTGATCCTTACCAAATTCAATGCCACCTTATGGGAGTAATCATTTATTTAATTTACCAAAAAAAAAAACCCCAGAAATGCGGTAGTAGCATTCCCTCTGAATATCAAAAAAGCCACCAATGAGCTGTAGGCACAGTAAATTCAGTCTGATAGGAATGACAGGAGATGTAATTCAGTTTGAAAGGGTTACTAAAAAGTTAAAATTACACTCCGTGCCTGATGCAGCTCTCTGCTCAACTAAACTGCACATGATGTAAATTACAAAATTAAAGGGAGTGTCATCATCAAAATTCAACAACATGCATTTTAGTCATTTTACATTTTATACAATATCTAAGTTTTATACAATGTCTGGAAAGGAATTTTGCATGATATTCAAATTAACTTGTGTTATATTCACACATTGTGGCTCTGACAAATGCTTTTGAAATTTGTATTAATTTGTTCAAAACAAGTATGTTAAAGCAAGTGCCACTGAATCTAATGAGAAAAAAAGTAGTACTGACATTGTACATTCATATAGCACAATTAACCAGCACCACAACAGAATGAATTTTCAGTGTTTCTATCCTGTCTTGGTGTATTTGACTTATCTAATAATGGAAAAATGTCATAATTTCTGTTCCCAAATTGGCTTAGGGGAAGATATCAAATATTTTCAAGTCAAAAGGCTCAAGTCCAAGTGAAGTCACAAGTCATTGATAGTAAAGTTGAGGTTGAGTTGCAAGTCTTTTTTGACTTTGATGTAGCCAGGAGACCAAGTCATTATTTCGCAAGTCAGAAGTAAGTCTCAAGTCCCTGCCCTCAAGTCCCAAGTCAAGAGAGGCAAGTCTCAAGTGCTGAACTTTGAGTTTCAAGTCCTAAACAAGTCATAATGTGCATTTCAACACATTCAATGTCAATATTAAGTTGAATATTAAATAAAAAGGAGTGCTTTTTAAAATTTGTATTTGCTTGTTGAAACAAGTTTGTCAAAGAAGTATTTAGCTGTGAAGCTAACATTAGCTTAGCATTATCTCAGTAACTGTGTTAATATTAGCCTCAACTAAATGTTCTTTGTGTGAAATGTTGAGCGAAGTTGGAAGTTGTTGCATCTTTGTAATTTTCCACCTGCACATTGTGCATATTGCAATACATGTTGTGTTGACCACAGCACAGTTTTTGTATGTGCACAAAAGTTTTTAAACAATCTTTTGGCTCTGGGGAAGGTACAAAGTGTTTTCTCGTCCACAGTCCAACTTAAGTCACGAGTCATTGATGTTAAATTCCAAGTCAAGTTGCAAGTCTTTTTTTTTTAATTACGTAAAGTCATCAAATTTGTGATTGAAGTCCAAGTCATGTGACTTGAGTCCACATATATACACAGATACACACAACAATTAATAAAATACCAAATTATAATGACAGTATTTCTGTGATGCTCAGTTCTTCAATTTACTGAAGTTTTCAGGCAAAACATTTGATGGTCACAGCTTCGAACATGAGGATTTGCTGCTTTTAGCTTTTTTCCAATCTAGTTAATAAATAGGCCTATGTTTGGATTTTGGGTTGATGCTGGGGCAACATAATTAATCAATAATAGAAAAAAAAAATATTAGTTGCAGCTCTATCCAATGACAAAGGAACAGGGAAAGCAACACAGACAAATATCAAGTCATTCTTTAAAGTTAGCATCTAAAATAATCCAACTATAAAGAAACCAGAATATTTTGTTTCACAGTCTCACAGGTGAGTGTTTGTTGTTGTTGCAATTGAAGTGGTTCAGACTCAAACAGTCAAAAATAGATAAACAGAGAGGCGGTGCACGTCTGTCTGAGACATGTGAGAGAACTGACTTCTGTCTGAACTCGGAGCTCGAGGGGCGAAAAAACTCCCCTGCTGTGACGCTTTTTCATTTTCTGCTTCTTTATACTTTCAGCCCACAACACCTCCGAAATACATATTCAACTTTTTACAGCTCTGCATTTGTTTAACAGCCTAATCTTCTCACATGATTTTAGTTTAATAAATATTCGAGGCCCAAAGAGTTAAAACTGACAGTAAAAGCAAAGATTAGAGGGATCAGTCCAGATTCCTGTATCAGAACTTAGTTTCTTCTTCTCTCCTCTTCCATTTATCATCTCACAACCCATCAGATCTATCTGGTGACCCATCGGAGGGGCCTGACTACAGAGGGATACTGAACAGGCTGACCAGGCACAGGTCCAGGGCCCAACGTGTCAGGGCCCTTGGCTTTCACCTGCAAACTCTGACTCAAACTAACACACTGAACAGATAGAGGCTCAATATGGTCACAAAGAAATATAAAACGGCTACAAAGAGACACAAAAGGACTGAAAAGAGACTTAAAGCAACAACAAAGAGACTCAACATGACTACAAAACCTATGACAAAACATAAACCACACTGAGATGCAAAACAATACAGTCGATTTTAGCATTTTCACTTCTCGCGATAAATCCACTGAAAGCTTGTCTATCCAAGTACCTGGGTGTGGATAGATGACAAGCTTTCATTTAATGTACATGTTGCTGCTCTAGTCAGGAAGCTTCCAGTGAAGATTGTTTTTTATTTTAGGAATAAGCCTTGTTTTAGTTTCAGTGCTAAATAAAAACTTGTGGAAGCTTCTTTTCTGTCTGTGATTGATTACAGTGACATATTGTATATGCATGCAGCCTCCTCCATTATACATAGCCTTGATTCAGTGTGCCATACATCTCTATGTTTTATTACAAATATAGTCACTTACTCATCACTGCATCCTTTATGATTTGGTGAGCTGGACGTCACTGACCACTCACAGACAACAGCACTGGTATATTTTCATCTATGAAGCAATATTGGACAAACGTCTGCTCCCTTCTGTGTGTCAGCTCTGGTAGTTTCCAGCCATGCTCCTCCAGGTGGTCCCTTTTTAATGCGCCCCGGGTTTTAACAGATCTGTGGAAAACTGCACTCGCCTATTCTGCACCTTGGACATGAAACAATCTCCAAAAAAAAGAACACTTATACCTACTGATGAATTTAAGGGCATCATAAAGAATGTGGTGACAGAGACATGTGCTTGTTTTTCTTGAGAGGCCACTATGTTTGAATAGTTGTTGTTTTATTGTAGATTTTGTATTATATGTTGTATTTGTTGCATTTTAATGTGTTCTGATTGGCTGCTACCTTGGCCAGGTCTCTCTTGTAAAAGAGATTTTCAATCTCAGTGGGACTTCCTGGTTAAGTAAAGGATAAATCGGTAAATAAAAGAGGCAAAACAACTGTAAAAATCTGTGCGTCTTGCTCCTACAGTGGGGCCTTACCATATGTAGCTGTACATAAAGTAGTTCAAACTCGCTCGAGTATCTACAACAGTGACATAGTGTTAATAATCAATGTAATAATAAAAGTACATTTTAAGTACATTTGTTGACACTAATTATACTTAAATATACTTAATGCAGGACTTTTACTTCAGTAAAGGTTTTGAGTGCTTCCTCTACACTGAGAGTAGTTTATTTTGGGCTCATCATCATCCAGCCAACATTTGTATTTGGGGCCAAAATGGGCATCTTGTCTGGCTAAACCCACCCATGTGGGCAAATGTCACGGGGCCAATATGGAGCCTGTGGACAGTCCCATATAGGGCCCATTTTTCAGCCCATTTACTACCCACAAGGGCCCCACATACAAATGTTGGCTGGGTAATATGACTTCAAAATGGTACAAGCCAGCTGTTAAATTCTGAGTTTTATTTTGAAGGTAAAATCACTTCACTTCCGGTCATATTGTGGTGATTTGTCACGCACTTGTCGCAGCTGAGAATCGGGAGGTAACCATGACGCACGGAGAGAAAACACCCCGGCTCCGCTGGAGAGGACGCACGGCCGCAAAGAATCATGGGAATCTGTGTTTTGTTCACCTCGTTCTTTGTCGTTCATGTGTTTGTATCAGGGAGGAAGTCAGAGAGGAGTAGAAAACTACAAATACCACCAGCAGCAGCAGCAGCAGCAGCGGTGGAGGAGCTGTCCGTGGTGCTGAACGAGGAAACTGTAGGAGAGAAACTTATAAATACAGTTAGGCCAATATTAAATATAGGCTATTAAACATCTCAATAGAAGTACAGTCACTGTTATGTTAAAATACAAAAAGGAATATGGACATACAACAATTAAAAATAAAATACAACAGCATGTGACAAAAGAATAAAAGGAGCGAAAATTGACTTAAAAAAAATTGACTTGACAATAAAAATCTATTTTTTTAATCAATGGTATGAGGGAAATTTAATAAAAATTTAAAAAAAAATATATATAATAATGATAGAATAAAAGTATTTAATAAAATAAAAAGGGAAACTTAATAAAATTAGTTTATTTTAAACACCAAAGTGTCAGGGATTATAGTTATTGTTGTCAGCTATCTGAGGGCCACAGACCCTCAAGAGCCCATAGTTACAACTATGAATATAACTGCAACTAAAAATAAGGTCTAAAATATAGCTGCAAGCACGTTGTGTTGACATATGTGCATTATACTAATTTTAAAGGAACACTGTGTGTGATTTGGTGGACTCTGGTGGTGAGGACTGCAGATTGCAGCCAGCCGAAACCTCTCCTGGTTAGAATTCCTTCAGTGTTCATTGTTCAGGAGGTTTTTACCAGGAGCCGAATTAACCACAGAGGTCTCTTCCGCTCCAAAACAAACAGACCAGGTGATTTAAACAGGTAAAAACACAGCATAAAGCAGTTTCATGTTATAAATCAGTGTTTTTCTAATGCT